GGTGTCTGGAGTATTCTTCAGGAAGATGAGAGCGGATGACCAGTTCAAGAGTGGATGTTGGTGTTTCGGCTGTAGCTAGGGGAGGAAGGTGGCAGGCGCATGTGTGCAAACGCGGGTGTGTGTGTGGAACTGTGCCTTGAGGGACAAGGTTCTAGAGCGTGGAGATGCCTAGAAGGTTAGAGCTTAAGTGCAGGCACTGTTCTCAGGTACAATGCACATGCGCTGTTTCTCTGAATACCTCAGTGACCTACAGTCCCGTGGTACTGTCCTCCTGGTATTCAGATCTGTCTGGGCTCCAGGAATTGTTTGCCTGGACTCCACTGGGAGACCCACAGAACAGGGCCTTCAATGTTGAGAACACTGTCCCAAGGATCCCTATGTTGCCCACAGTGAGAGTGTGGGTGGGAAGGATCCGATGCGTGGCTGTTAGCATAGAAGGACCCTGAGGTTCTGCATGCACTCACTTGAAGACACCCTCACTCGCTCACAGGCCTAATTGGAAAGCACAGGGGATCCTTCTGTCCTCTACTCTCAGATTTGGGCCCGCAGGGGCAAATGAGAGTGTAGAACATGTCAGTTTAGTGGTGTCCGCTGTTTGCTCGCCAGGCAGGGAGGCCCACACTTGGGGCAGCCTCCTCTGCATTCTCAGTCACTGGGCTCAGAGGCTCCTGCTTTGGCCAGCCACAGCCGCCTACCTCAGGAGCCCATACAACCACCTGCTGCAGCCACCGCCTGGGAAGCCCATATTGCCTCTGCAGTCTCAGTCACTGAGCATGGGGCTTGTGCTTGGGTAACCACTGCCACCTCTGCTAAGCAGGGAGGCCCATTCTTGGGGCAAAGGGAAGTGCAGGGGGTTGAAGATTCTCCATTCTCAGTCCCCAGAGACAGCCACAAATGACCTGGATCCAAATTGTCCCAGCTCACAGGTTGTCCCCTCTCACCCAGGAAGCCTCAATGTTGATGTTCTGACTTCAGCTGCCTCTCCATTCATCAATTTCGAAGTTTCGGATCCTGTGCCCCTCAGATACACTGGTGAGCATTGTTCACCACCATTTTGGACTCCCACATCATTATTTCTTAGTGGATATTAGACATATACTCTAGGATACTCATGCTAAAATCTGTCCACCTGAGGAAGGACGACCCTAGATAAGATGCTCAATCCTCACTCAGAAAGACAAAACAGGATGGACATCGGAAGAGGGAGAAAACAGGACAGGAGCCTACCACTTAGGGCCTCTGAAAGACCCTACCCAGCCGTGTATCAAAGCAGATGCTGAGACTCTTAACCAAACTTTGGACAGAGTGCAAGGAATCTTATGAAAGAAGGGGGAGATAGAAAGACCTGGAGAGGACAGGAGCTCTACAAGGAGACCAACAAAACCACAAAAATCTGGACACAAGGGTCTTTTTCTGAGATTAATACTCCAAACAAGGACCATGCATGGAGATAGTCTAGAACCCCTGCACAGATGTAGCCCATGGCAGCTCAGTGTCCAAGAGAGTTCCCCGGTAGTAGGAACAGGGACTGTCTCTGATATGAACTCATGGGCTGCCTCTTTGATCACCTCCACCTGAGGGGGAAGCAGCCTTACCAGTCCACAGAGGAAGACAATGAAGCCAGTCCTGATGAGACCTGATAAGCTAGGGTCAGATGGAAGGGGAGAAGGGCCTCCTCTATCATTGGGCTGGGGGAGGGGCATAGGAGAAGAGGGAGGGAGAGTGAGATTGGAAGGAGATGGGGGAGAGAGCTACAGCTGAGATACAAAGTGAATAGACTGTAATTAATAAAAATAAAATAAAAATTTAAAAATAAATAAATATTTATTTATTATTTTCAAACATTTAACAATATCCCTTTGTAAATAAAGTTGTTATGCTGAGAATGAGAAAGCATACTTATCCACAAACATTTGGGAGCTTCAGTGCATTATAAAGAAAATCTTTTTACATAAATACTGACTTTCTATCACTGTTATTTCCTTAGACAGCCTGACCTGAAACTAGAGTTGAGCAGAAGTATATTTCTCTAAACAGTATCTAGATCCTGGCTGCTTTTATGTCAACTTGGCACTAGCAAAAGTCATTTAGAAAGAGAAAACCTTAATTGAAAAATATTTGCATGCAGGCAAGCCTGTGGTGCTTTTTTTTTTTTTTTTTTTTGATTGATGAATGCTGTGAGAAGGTCTAGTTTACTTTTGGGGCAGTGGCATCCTTGGGCCGGTGGTCCTGTGTACTTTAGGAAGGCAGATTGAGCAAGCCATGGGGAGCAAGCACATCCCCAAAGCCTCTGCATTAGCTCCTGCCTCCAAGTTCCTGCCCTGACTTCCTCAGATGATGGAAGTAGAAGTGATATGGAAGTAGAAGTGAAATAAACCCATTCTCTCCAAGTTGCTTTGGTTGTGGTGTTCTATCACAGCAATAGAAACCCTTATTAAGACAATCTCTCAAACTGAAGGGCTTCTCAGTTTTCTTACTGCTATGAGGTTGTCAGAACCGAGTTAGGGCACAGCAGTAAAGCTGCCCACAGATTCCACATCACATAGGCTGGATCACCACATACAAACTGGCCTGGAGATCCTGCCATGCATACACACACACAGCCTTCACTCCAGACAAACATGGCTCCCCTCTGCTTGTCTTCTAGCCAGGCACTATCCCTTAAGAAAAAGGGTCTCTGAGGCCCAGCATATACACGTCTCTCTACTTCCCAACTCTGCTTGGAACACTCTGGGGATGTAGGCGTCTGGAGCTCCCGGGCAGCCTGAGGCTTGCCTTACTACCTGCCTCGCTTCTTCCCAGGGCAGATGGAAGCGGCCCACTAGGTGGCCCTTCAAATATCATTGTTTAATAAGTGCCTGGGAAAGTAGTAAGTTGGGTAGATCCACACATGCTTCTTACAAGAGTACAGCTTCAGGTGGAAGGGAAACAAACCAGGCTCCTCTCTGTGCCCTCAAGCACCCACTGCATAGAGCCTGTGTCCTCGTCTCTGGTGTAGTCCTCAAATTGTCACTCCTGGTTCAGAAACTCTCTTCCTGTCTGATGGCACATATGACTCTAGTCTTGAGATTCATTTCAACTATTGCTGTACTTCCAAATCCAGGACCTCTTCTATAGCTCCACTTGGCCATGCTATCTCTTGTCTCTAGTTTACTTCTAAATGTCTCTGCACTACTTTCCGCATCACTGCAAACTCTCCATCTTCATTGGCTGTTGTAAGAGATTGTGCACATTTCTTTTAAAGTCTTTGGAGGGTCTTTAGCACTTTCAGACTTACTTCCAACTCCCTCCTGTGGACATGAAGGTCTGCAGCCCACTGTTGCAATGGCAGCTTGTCAAGCATTTCGGAGAGGCACGCCTTTCACACCTCTGCCACCTTGCACAGGCACTCTGCTGTTCTGCCGCATCGCTCCCTGATACTTGACTTTCCCTTATTCTCCCTCAACTACCTCAAAATCACCACTCTGGAAAGTCCTTCTGACTGCAACCCCCTGTGACTAGGCATCCTGTGTGTCCCAGGAGCACCCCCCCAAAGTGCTCACATTAATCTAAAACATAAAATTGCTTTAAGTAAAGGACAAACTCTACCTTGTATTGCCAGAACTTAGCACAGTTAGTAATTTAAAATTATGAAGTAAGTATACATACTGATATCTAAGGCACTCGGAGCTTAGGAATCATCTGCAACCATTTTGAAAGCAGAAAATCACTTTCTACTTCTAGTTTGTTAGACCTGTTTTTACTGTTTTTAGCATAATATAAAATAAAGGCCCTGAAGGTTAAAAAAAAATATACAATTTACATAAAATACCAGCAGTAAACAATCACTGTGAAAAATATTCATTCATGCTGATAATCAAGAAATGCAAATTGGGCGATCCAGAAAATCAATGTTGGAAAATATAATGCACATTAGCCTAGGCAAAATATTTAGTGATCAAAACTAAGGCTGATTAGAGTAAAGCTGCAATTGTCTTTAACTATTTCTGTCATGAAAATTGGAACAGGATGCCTAGGCAACAATTCAGCAATGTTATTTAAACTCCACGAAGTTATTCATACCTTCTGGTCAGATAATTGGACTCTTGACATTTATCTTATTCAATACAAGTATTTTTTTTCCAACACTACAAAATTATCAGTGGGATAACACAGTATCACAACTCTGAAAACAGCCTAATTGCTAAAGAATGTCTTCTTATAAAATATATATGAGAAAAGATATTTGCAAACCACATTGTAATCAATAAGAAATTCACAGTTTATAAAGAATTCCTACAAGTTAATACCAAAATGGCAATCTGAACAAAAATGTGAAAACTCTTATGAAACTTTTTAAATTTCAAATATAAAATAAATGCTGCTGTCTAGCTCAGTAGTAGAACACTTGCCTGGCATGTAGAAAGCCCTCAGCTCTATTTCCACTGCTAAAAATAAAATCCTTCAATGATTAAAACAATGTGAAATAATATACATTTCCAAAAGATAATAATAGTAGCTCAGTTTCCTTAGTTTTCAGTGAAATACAGACCAAACCCAAATGAAACTACCACTTCTATTCATCAGCTGACAGAAATTAAAATAAACAACAACCAAGCTTGATTGTCTATAACTTATGACTCAACAATCTCTTCTTTAGAATATGTTCAACCAAGAGAACTTGGAATCACGTTAGGAATATGATACCCTATAAATAAATGAAAAATGAAAGAATTGATTTTTTATAACAACACAGAGAATCTAGACTTAAATGTTGAGCGAATATGCCATGTCATAAGAAAGCATATAAAATATTATTCCATTTATAACTTTTTCGAAAGAATGCAACACACTAAGTTTATTAGATAATCACTGACCAAGCTATTGGTTAGGACTGTAGTTTTCTTGTGAAAAACTACAGTTAAAAACAAGAAAAATAAATGCCAGAGTCAGAAGAAGTCACTCTTTGGAGTGTGAGGAAATTGGTTGAAACAGTTGAAAGGGCTCTGAGGGTTAGAGGTGGCCTTGCATCTAAGGCCATCTACTAAAATTGAAATGGCACAGAGATTAGCATAACCTTGTACAAGGATGGCAGATGGCTTCATAAAGCAGCTCATTCAATAAATAAACAATTTAAAAGCACTTACGTGAAAGTTTAGTGTATTATTTTTTAAGTCTCATAATTTTTAATGCCATTACCTATCTATTTAGTATTTAATAAAAATGTATTTTTAAAGAAGCAGATCACAGACTAGCAAAATATTGTACATCATGTCTATACACAAAGTTTGCATGGGACACAGAGTGAACCAACAGAATGTTACCAGTGGCCTGGGAAATGGCCACAGAATGACTAAAAAGACTGATGAGAAAGACTGAGTCTTTAGCATGATTATGTATAATCTATGCATAACAGAAGAGTAAAAATAGGTAGATCCATGGAGTGATATTAAGTGTAAATGGTTTTACTTATAGAGTTTTGACCCTGCATTTTTTCTTGTCCCTTCCGCTGGGTATTCTCATCATTTCACTGTCATTCTGTGCCATAGAGATCATTAATGGAGAGTAGGACACAAAAGGGTGGAGAAAGATAAGAAAACTCTTGGCTTTGAATTTCAAAATTGGCCATTGATGTTCCTAACAGAAGGAAAAGTTTGAATCCACTGAGATTGATTGCCCAGACTGTACATTTTCGAAATCACTGAAGCAAGCTGAGCATCAACTTTATGCAGTTGATAATAGATGCCCATAGGAGATAAAATGTCTGGCTACACTTGAAAGGACCCACATTTCCTGTATCTCCAACAGGAGTACAAAGTAGGGCAGGGGTAGCCTTTCAATTATGAAGAGAAAAACACCATGATCTGTCGTGGGCTCAGGAACTCAGCACATCAGCTGACGTAAGCACAGGCCTACAGTGAGAGACCTTCTTCTACTTAACATAGATCCATTTTAAACATTCCAAAGTGAAATTATTTGAAAATAATATGAGCCTAAGAAAAAACTATGAGAATGTACCTGGGGAAGTGATGGATGGTTTGGGCGATAGGGACTTGTAATCCAGGTTTTTCCTGCAATACACTGTAAGTGCAACAACCACTACTTGATGGGGGCACTCAAAAACCAGTCTGCCCAAAATAGAGATGCTTATTAAAATATTAATCATTTACAACCACGCCAAAGAATGGTGCTTTTTATATAAGTCAAAGCTCTCTTGAGTTGTGAAGGAAGAAATTCTAACTTGTTTTAGGTAGTATTCAAAACAGTGGACTTCGTTATGCCATCGTTAAACATGTATATCATTGTACATTCCCTGAATCCTCCCAACGAACCTCTCTTCCCTGACTCCTGCTGCCCGTCTTCTCTCACCAACTGTTTCCAGTCCTGACTTCACTATATGTATTCATATACAGTGTATAACATATGTATGTATAATAGGTATGTGAGAGATAGATGATAAACAGACAAATGTTCTACAGATCCCAAGTTATTCTTCTGGAACATGTAAAATTTCATTAATAAAATAATTTCAAATTAAAACTAAAATAAAAGATACCTGTCCTCTCAAATGCATGCCCTAGATGCTATTAACGGGGGTCAGACTAGGATTAATTTCTGGCCATCATATTTGGGAAAGAGAAATCAAAAGCAAACATGAAGGGGGCTAGAGAGATGTTTCACCAGTTAAGAGTGCCGGGTTCAGTTCCCAGCACCACATGGCGACTATCAACTGTGTGTAACTCCGGTTCTGGGGGATCTAGCGCCCTCTTCTGGCACCAACAGGCATTGCACGTATGTGATGCACAGACATTTAAGTGGGCAAAATAAATACCCATACACATAAAATAAAATGAATAAAGTGTAAATATTGTATTATAATGTAATGTATGGATTTACTATTTAAAATAATATCAATGGGCAACTTTGAAAAATACAATAGTAAAAAGGACTCAATTAATGGGGTCAAAATAAGATTAGTTACACAGAAGAAAAGTAGAAGACTGGGACAGGTCAGAAGAAATATAAAGATGGTGCAAAGAGAGAATGAAACGATAGAATCTAGAAAAAGAGGAAAACATTATATGTGATATAGAGTGAAATTTTACATAAAGATTAAAAATACAGTCACAGAAAGGGGGAAAGAAGGAACTGAGACAATGTTTAAAGAGATTTTGCTCAAACATTTTCAAAATGAAGATATTAATCATATCTCCAAGATAATCACTCCTCCATATGTCATAACAAAACTCATGAAAACCAAAGATGAATATAAAATGGTTTAATGTTTTTAGAAGATAAAGTTAGCTATCATGAAATTGATGAAGGAAAATAGTCATCATACCAAATTTCTATATTTAAAAATTAGAAAGATCTAAAAAAAAAATAAATTTGGAAAGATCTCAAATTTACAGTCTAATGCGGCACCCAGAGACTTACCACAAGAAGTAATCCCACCCAGGGCTCTTGGGACCCAGCGTCCTGGTGCAGAGTCAGGGCTCCCTAGCTCTTCCCAGCACCCCTCCGGGTCCATCTCCATTCCTTGGAAACTCGCTGCTGACCCAGAGCAGAGCTCTCTATCAGGACTCCACATCTACCACACTTGGCTGAGAATCAGAAGAGCTTTCTTTGTCCTCCTCCTCATCTATCTTAGTGTCTCCAGACCACTTCTAGGTAGGCTGATGCCTGCTCACTTGAGCAAACATGAGCAATCAAGACAATACTCCTCCATAAGCCAGCAACCCTATTGTAAAAGCCCCCAAGGAAAGAAACCACGCTGAAACACAAGAAAAGGACTTCAAAATAGCAATTATGAATATGTCCAAGGACCATCAAGATAATATGAAAAATGAATTATTGAAGATTGTGAATACAGGTAATAGAGTAATGAAAATAATTCAAAATATAAAATTAGAAATTACCAAAGAAGGATCTGCCATCTGAAGTGAGTGTGTGTTCTGTGGCCCAGCTCCGGCTGGTGGTGTTAGGGGTCGCTGTCACCGCTGTTGTCAGGTCTAATGTAGGTGGAGCCTCCGCCAAGATGCAGATTTTTGTGATGACCTTTTCAGGGAAGACCCTCACCCTCGAGGATGAACACCAGACACTAAAGAAATGTAAAAGCCGAGATCCAGAATAAGAAAGGAATTTCTCCTGATCAGCAGAGACTGATCTTTGCTGGTTAGCAGACGGAAGATGGCCATACTCTGTCTGACTACAACATTCAAAAGGAGTCCACCCTTCATCTTGTGTTGAGACTCCGTGATGGTGCTAAGAAAAAGAAGTCTTACACCACTCCCAAGAAGAATAAGCCTAAGAGGAAGAAGGTTAAGTTGGCTTTTCTGGAATACTATAAGGTGGATGAAAATGGAAAAATCAGCCGACTTTGTCAATAGTGTCCTTCTGATGAATGTGGTGCTGGAGTTTTCACAGCTGGCCACTTTGACAGACGTTACTGTGGCAAGTGTTGTCTGACTTACTGCTTCAACAAACCAGAAGACAAGTACTTGTGTATGAGTTAATAAAAAGGAGCTGAAGAAAGAAAGAAAGAAAGAAAGAAAGAAAGAAAGAAAGAAAGAAAGAAAGA